AAACACCTCCAGGCATGGGCCATCCACAACTTCTCTGGGCAACCTGTTCTGGTGCCTCACCATCCTCAGAGGAAAGAAGTTCTTCCTTAGATCTGATCGAAATCTCCTCTCTTTCAGTTTAAAGCCATTGCCCTGTGTCCTATCACTACACACGCTTGTCAAAAGCCCCTCTCCAGCTTTCCTGTAGGCCCTCTTCAGGTGCTGGAAGGTTGCTAGAAGGTGTTCCCGGGGTCTTCTCCAGGCTCGACAACCCCTACTCTTTTAACCTGTCTTCATAGGAGAGGTGCTTCAGCCCTTGGATCATCTTCGTGGGCTCCTCTGGACTTGCTCCAACACATCCATGTCCTTATGTTGGGAGCCCCAGAGCTCAACACAGCACTGCAGAAGGGGACTCACAAGAGCAGAGCAGAGGGACAGAATCCCTACTGCAGAAGGGGACTCACAAGAGCAGAGTAGAGGGACAGAATCCTCTCCCTTGACCTGCTGCCCACACGGCTTTGGATGCAGCCCAGGACATGGTTGGCTTTCTGGGCTGACAGCGCACGTTGCCAGCTCATGTTGAGCTTCTCATCGACCAGCACCCCCAAGTCCTTCTCCTCAGGGCTGCTTCCCATCCATTCTCTGGCCAATTCCCATTTTTTGGAGAGCATGTCAAAACCTGCACCCAGGACCACGCCAGCAATCAGCTGGTCTGAGCAGCAAGAGGATGGTTCTCCAGCCCTGCCCCATACCGGTTTAATCCCTTCACACGAACCCAGCTGCAGGTCCATGGACTAGCTCCAAACAATCTGCCAAAGGCAATCAAGAAATGCAAACTTATTGCTGATGTATTTTTTTTTTCAATCTGCCTTGTCCACATCCCGGAACGCCTCAGCCATCTGTTTCAGCATCAGAACCCACACTGCTTTGGATGCAGCCCAGGATACGGCTAGCTTTCTGGGCTGCCAGCGCACATTGCCGGTTCCTGTTGAGCTTCTCATCAACCAACACCCCCAAGTCCTTCTCCTCAGGGCTGCTCTCAATCTATTCTCCACCCAGCCTGTATTTGTGCTTGAGATTACCACAATCCATGTGCAGGACCTTGCACTTGGCCTGTTGAACTTCATGAGTCATGAGTTTTGCACAGGCCCACCTCTCCAGCCTGCCAAGGTTCCTCTGGACACCATCTGAGATGTTCTTCTGAAAATCTTTCCTTCAACCATGAGTGTCAGGCAGAAGCCCTTTTGGCTCTATCAGTCCTGCAGCTGAACATCTGAGAAACAGTCCTGAAGCATCTTCGATAGAGCAACAGAAAACTCAAGGGAAGGGTAAAGGAATGAATCATTTTTGCAATTCATGTCTTAGTGACCAAAGGTCACTACACAGCTAAGGATGTCTTTCCCAGGGAGTGATCTTTGGTCCCTGATGGGTGCAGAGAGGTGTTGCTAGGGCTTGTGTGTGCAGTGCTCAACACAAGTCCTGCTAGAGTTGATCAACCACGTTCACACTTGCTAGCACTTGGCCTAGACGTCCTCTGGCTCCTCTGTGGTACCTGTGTGTCTCTAAGTTGCTAATAATAATAATAATAGTAAAAATCTTCATCATCACAATAACAACAATAATTGGTTTTGTTATACTAATAACAATTATTATTATTATTATTAACACCTATTATTGTTGTTGAGGATGATGGTGTTATTTTAATTTCAAAGTGATTGAAATAACGTGCAGGTCAGGCTGCAGCCCATCAGAGTTGGGCTTACATGGCACAGTTCCAAGGGGATGCTTTGCATTGCCTGGGACGTGACTTAGGGCATGCGTGGGATTTTTACAAGGTAAAGCCGACTAGAAGATGGAGCCAAACATGGTGTGAACCCAGCTGCACTGACGACAGACAGCTTTGCAGAAGGGAGCACAGGAATTAACGACTAACATGCGTGCAAGCTGGTGTCTGGGCGTTGAGAGTCAGCAGAGAAAAGGAGACCTGGTCTGTTTGTTAGTGTGATTGCAACCAAAACGCCTGCTCTGCTGCAGGACCTCCTCTCCAGGCCCCACTGACCCATTAAACCCTCCTGCATCTTTCAAACCAGTGATGCACAGCACGCAGAGGTGACAGAGGCTCCGAGCACCCTCCAGGTTCATCTATCAGCTACCTACTACCAGCGTTAATACTCATCCTGTCATTAGAGCTAATGACTGTATTTCACCCCAAGTCAGAGTTTAGTTTGCTGGAGTGAGTGTGGTAGAGCTTTCCCTGTCATTCACTGTGTCCGATTACTGTTCCCTTGGGAGCTGCAGTGTAAAGGCAAAGCATTAGGGCTGAAAAGCTTCAATTTTCCCTTCTCCCAGTGGCAGCAGCAAATGAAAAATGTTGAGTGGAACCAGACAGATGGCAGAACTCCTAATCTCCCCCGATGATAGCCAGGATGGCCGAAGGGAGCTCTTGCTCCTCAGTCACAAGGGACATTCACCCGTCCTATGGTCCCACATCGCGTCCCAGCACAGAGCTGGGCTGACACACAGAGGTCGTGAGCACAACCAAATCTTGCCCTGGGCAGCTCAGGGTCTCAGATCCCCCTATTATGGGTCTGGGATCCCAAAATCACCCTACAAGGGCTCTCAGGTCCTTTCTCTTCAAAGGGTAGCAGGTTTTGTATGGGAAAGAGCAACAGAAGACGTAAAGGATGGGATTCAACTTCACATCATACCTAGGGCTGATTCAGTCACCTAAACATGGGTGTCTGGTACCACTTGAGATGCTCTAGGACATTTACATGGACTTGGCAAATATGGGGCAAACCCACATCTTCTAGTGGAACACCTAGAGATGATTCCAAGACTTTCAGGGTTTGACAACCAAATCAAGCCCCACAGGCTACAGCAGGAGCTCAGGCAACTACCACGTGTGATATCTACATTTTGATGCCTACATCTCAGACTGTGTCCCACTTTCACATTGCTCATGTGGCATCTCCTGTTCCTACAGGTCTCATCAGGCTCTTAATTCCTTCCCGATCGGAAACCCAGGAGCTCAGCCAGATACAGCGGCTGAGCTCCACGAGGTCCCTCCTGCCGGGAGCACAGACACAACAGTCTTGCCGTCAGCCAGGAGTTCGTGACTCGGCACAGCTGTGTGACTGCATTCCCGCGGGTTTCAGAATGATTATTACTTTCGGGGAAGATTTGTTTATTTCCAGCAGCTTCGGCAAGGCTAGCTCTCCACTGATAATTTCACTGCTGGTCTGCTTCCCACACTTTCTTGACAAGGACACATCTTCCCTGGATGTTGAGTGTGCCTTTCATGGCCTCTGCAAAATGTTGGCTGAAAGTGAAGGCCCCAGGTTTGCAGATCTTCAGTATCTTTAACCATAAGCAAAACGAGACACTGATTAGGATGGGCTTGAATAGGTGCTGCTCTTAGGTAGGGTGCAGAATGTGTCCCACTGTGGCTGAGACAACCCAATATGCGACAACCACCCTCCAGTGTGTGCAGCTAAAGGAGCTACTGCCCTTAGCTTGACTCAGTACTCAGCCTCAAAGGTCAAATGTTGCTAATGATGTGCAAAATAAATGAAAATATACATAGTGGAGGAGGAAAATAGAAGAATCTGTGAGATTCGAAGGGAAGGGTTAATTCTATGGCATTGCTCTGGACATCTTGTGGTGGGTCAGAGGGTGCTTCACATTAAGTGAACTCAGATTTGTGGCGTATTTGGAGATGCAGGGCTTTCCCTTTCCCCTTCTTTTTAGAGGAGGCTGTGGTTAAGATGGAACAAATGGTATCACCATGGCCATTCAGACAGTCTAGAGCTCAGATTATTCAGGTAGAAGCTGATTGCATAGGATGATTCAGAGGATGAGGTGTTTGAAAGATTAACAGCCATATTTTAAGACAGAATACTAAATATCAGAAAAGGCACAGGTGAGACTCACATTTCAATGCAGAAGCTGATCTCTGACCATTTAGGACTAACATGGGACTTTCATGGAGTGAAACACATCACATCTGCTAATGCAGAATATCACACACCTCCAGCTAAGTCTGCTTCTATACAGCAAAGACAGAACATTAAAGATCAGGTCTAATCTGGCTATTTCTCCTTGAATCTCAGGACTCCATCACCTCTGTCCAACCTCTGTGCAACCTAGACCGACTCACACTCCAGAGAATTGGAAGGAATTATTTCCTCTTGAGTTGGCAGCTCATGGCCAGCAAAAGTAGGGTGAAATTGTCCTGAGCACGTGTAGGTAAAGGTCTGATCCCATTCATGTGTCGCATCTAGAGATGGCACAAAGACTAGGATCATGTGTGAACAGAGGGCCTCACTCCTTCCCAGGTCTTCAGACACAACACATGGGTGTCTGCTGGGCTCGGGCACGGCACGTGTGTTGCTCCCTACCTTTCCTGGGTGCAATGCATAGTCATCCCAGCTACCTCAATATCCCAGCAAACAAAGGGGAGAGTGGGAAGAGGATAAACGGAAGAGCAGCATGTGGTGACTAGTCCAAGCCTGATCATTTCAAAGGCATCACAAAGGCAGTGGGGAAACCAATATACAAGCAGGACAAGTTACTCATAATGGGAAATGCTTAAAAATATGTCTCTTAAATGTTTCCTGGCCTGAATGTTTCCTAAAAATTCTGAAAACTGCAAATCTGCATGGAGAACAGCCCTCCTACTTGGAATCAGCTCAGCAGGGATACATGGAGGTGAGCCCAGGCATGGGCAAGGGGGGGAAGTCAAAGCAGGCTGCTATAATGCTAACACAGTACCCCTGCTGGACGGCTGATGGAGAGAGCTACAGGAAGATGAGCATCTTATTGCCTCACTTAGCACACTAGATATGACACCAGTTCAAGACCAGCACTCCAGTTTGACTCCATTTGTGTTACGAGATCCTGCAGTGGAAGGTGGCTGAAATGATCAGATCTGCAACATGACTAAACCTCAGACTACAGCTATGAGTAAACTACACCACGCCAGAGCCTGCTTTCTAGCCCCGGGGTCACATCCACACCTTGAAACTATCTTAGCCTCTGAAACAGAGCGACTGCATTCAAACGGCTATTGGGAATGGTGCCTGGTTGGCACCAGGACAAAACGTGCACAGAGATTGTGTGGATGACCCAGCTGTCACATCCAGACTCTGGCACTATTCAATTTACTGGAAATGATGTAGCCGTGGAGGAAGAGATAGATATTGCCTTGGAGACCTCCCATGTGAATGGAGGAAAACAGAAACAAGAAAGGAAGAAGGAGAAGCTACTGTAGGCAAGAACTAGTTGTAAAATGGAGGATCCAGTTTATGGGTTCCCACTCTATCTGTTTGGCCAGGGCCTTGTAGAAGCATTTGGGAAGCAAGCTGAGGAAAAGAAGGTCCCATACTACATCAGCTCATAGAATCATAGAGTGGTTTGGGTTGGAAAGGAAAAAAAATCCACCCCCCCGGCCGTGGGCAGGGACCCCTTCCGCTACTTCAGGTTGCACAAAGCCTCATCTAGCCTGGCCTTGAACACTTCCAGGGATGGGGCAGTCACAACTTCTCTGGGCAACGTGTTCTGGTGCCTTGCCAATCTCAGAGGGAAGAATTTCTTCCTTAGCTCTAATCTAAATCTCCCCTCTTTCATTTTAAAGCCATGATCCCTTGTCCTATCATTACATGCCCTTGTAAAAAGTCCCTCTCCAGCTTTCTTGTAGGTCCCCTTTAGGTACTGGAAGGCTGCTTGAAGGTGTCCCCAGAAACTTCTCTTCTCCAGGTCTCTTCTCCAGGCTGAACAACCCCAACTCTCTCAATGCCACAAGTCCCTACTGATCTATTAGGAAGACACAAGCCACCTTTTCCCATGTGGCAAGGAAAGACTCCTATATCCATTCCACAGGAAAGAAACCAAAGCAAGCTGGAAGATGGTTTCTTTCAAGACTGAAGTTCTTTTCTGAAGACTGTACAGAGCTTGTTCAGAGCAGAACCATGGGACCACCATAAGCATCATTTCGTCCATGCTGTAAATAAACCTGCTGGACCAAAGAGTGTAAGAAGAGAAAAGTAGAAAAGAAACAATATGAAATTTCCATGCAATGACCTAAACTAGTTTCCAAGGTATCTACAAATTAACAGCACAGAATAGAGAAATTGCAATTACACAGTTAAGTATTATGGTCAATAACTATATACACTGCCGAAAAGAAGTGACCATAATACTCTATCCTTCCCATCCTCATTGGATCATGTCTTCAAAAGCCAGACATGTTCATAGGAAAGGAAAGTGGATGAAGTCTACCTTTTGTGCTCCATTCAGTCTCCTTCCAAAAGTCCTGCTTTACATCAATTCCTTCTGCTAGAGGCTATCAAGAAAAGCATGTTTCCTCTGGGAAAATGTTTCACCAAATGGCTTTTTCCAAAATTCTGCAAGCTTCTGCTGCAAGCAGGAGAAATGCTTCTTCAAGAGTGCGTAGAAGAATCTCAATTTGCCAATAGAGCAACATTTCCTCAGGGAGAAAAGGAAAAGAAACTCCCTACACATTGTTTTGGAAAGTCTTTTCTGCTTATCTCTGTTCCCGAATCTCTGCTGCAAACTATGGTGAGAAGAGTCGCCCTTACCACAGCCTGAACTACACATATAAATAACATTAAGAGCAAATTTCTGTCCTCCAAATCCCCAGTTCACTTCCTCAGCCCTGCTGAGCCTAACAATTGCTATTTTGCCCAGCGAGATCCAAGAAACACTGACACAGCTGAACTTTGCAGCTCAGGCCTGAAAGGTTGCCCAAGCCGTGGCAAAAACGAAGAGTTATCTTTGCTCTGTGGATCTCACCCTTGTTGGTTTCACTCTCTCGGACAAGGAAAGAGCCGACTTTGTTACCAGAAGACAATAGCAGCCGTTCAGCATCTTTTCTGCTCAGAGTTTTAAAATACCACCTGGGAGACAGAAAAGGCAAAATCATTGTTTGAAAAAGAAAAGCTCTAAAAAAAAGCAAATTCTTTCCAGTTAGATTGATTTTTATTTTTATTTTACCGTTACACTCTGAAACTGTGAGCTATTTTTATCAGCAAATAGTTTTTTATCTGCTGGAAAGTGCCAGTAATAGTCAGTTTTCAGAAGATTAACAACAGATTTCGGTCTCTTTGGGCTTGTTTCAGCAATTCACACAGAGCAGAGTAGGTGGTATGTGCAATACCCCGTATACAGGAGAGGTGCAGGCTCAGTTGGAGCATGGCCTCTGAGGCACGCAGGGGCCCACGGCTCACCTGGCAAGTGAGCAAGCCCCGAGCAGTGCCCAGGCAGGCTGTTTATAAAGCAGATACGTGGGCTGGAGGCTGAGCACAGTGTGCCCATAGCCATTTAAATGTACCTTTGGGATATAAAGATCATTTATGTCTCAACCACATTTCTGTACGCTGCTAAATATTTGCTTAATTCAATGATGGTTGTGTGCCTCCAAGAGGAGATTGCAAGAGGGACTGGTCATTTTTAGATAAATGCAAAGAGAAGTCGCGGGAGTAATTCCTTCTTCTGATTGTATTATAGGCATGATAAACCCTTTCGGCTCAGTTTTTCTTGCCATCTTCTTTGCAGGGAGCCAAACATGAAGGCTGCATCTGGGCTAAGGAAACAAACAGTGCCAGGCTGTGGGTCTGGGCACTGGCACTCAGTTGTCTGCCCAGCTAAATTGTTGGTGTAGTCCCTGGCACATCTGACACTGGCATCAACGCACCCTTCCTGAGTGACCCTCAGTCCCAGTTCGCATACGGATCCCCTCTTGGGGGCTGAGGAAGTTTAATAATATGTGCATGGGTTGACTGGCCCAGTGGGGCCAGAAGAAGGTCCCTGGCACTGCTAATTTACCAGTGCAAACATAACCTTTGTGTTATTTTGCCCAAATCCTCATTTTCCATGGTGGGTGCAATAATGGGACAGGAGTCATTGTCCACTTCCTCGCAGCAGCCTCATCCTCTCTGCTCTGCGCCTCCATGGTGATTAAAACTTCACCTGAACTTTTGCGCAGCGCTGCTGGGGATAATAGAAGACCTCTTGCCATCCAGTCCAGCACTAGCATCTTCCTGCTGTCAAGTAAAGCTGTTCCCATAGCTTGTTGAGAGACTGAGCTCTTTTGGAAAGGAAAGCCCGGCATCAGTGTTTGCCATTCATAAGCTTTCACACTTACTTTTCCTCTTCCAAAGTGTCTACTTTTGCGACGAAGTTGCTAGGGATGTAGCCTTTCCTCCCACTGCTGAGAGATTTTGCCAGCCACCAGTCCCCCTCTCTGCAAAACAAGTAGAAGAGAAAGCATGAGTGCCCAGAGGAGGTTTCATGACAAGGTAAGGCTGTGGGGATGGCATGGTTTCTGGGGTTTTAAGCACTGGAAATAGGCTAGCACTCCTTAATCTGCTGTACAGGTCTCTCTTGATTTCCTAGGACCACCATAAGGTTGAAGACTGATGGTCTCTCAGAGGCTTCTGGAGATCACAGTCTCTTTCCATGAATGCAGAGGAAGCATAGAGTGACCAGAAACCCAAACTTTGCTATGTGCCCCAGGTGAGAGGAAGGAAATCTGAGTCACCGTAGGTTTATTTCATCTCTTGCATAAGGACATCAGAGTTCCTCCATTCTGCTCCTTTCTTCATCTGCCAGACACTGCACTGCTTTGCCTCCCACCACTGACTCAGCCACCAGACATAACCAAAAGCCATCTACACCCAGCAGTCCCCCCTACCCCATGGGTCCCAGCCCATGGCATCCGGGTAAGAAATGTCACCTGTGGAGGCCACGTCACAGAGAGGTCAAGGATGGAGCTGCTCTATAAGGACAAATGACCAGGGGACCCAAGCCCACCTCTGCCCTGTTATGGACTGGGCAGATGAACTGTCTGCTGCCTCTTCTCTCGTGAGTTTGAGAAGAAGGTGAAATGAAACCACGCACGCCTCTGGCTCAATTCTGTCCTTTCTTCTGACTACACCCAACCCACATCCTTTGCAGAAGCACGATCAGCACAAAATAAGAAGTAGGAGCTAGGTTATTGTTGTTATTTATGCTACTTCTGCTCCCATGCGCATCAGCAGTGAAGAAAGCCCCAGTAGTATCCAGGCAGTGACACTGCTCAACTCCAAAGTGTCTGTAACCCAAGGAAAGCATGGAATTGTCACCTTCTCCATCCTGCAGAGAGAAGAGAATACCCAGAGCCACACTCTGGAGCAAATCTAAGACATAGGCTCAGCTCTGGTCAGGTGCAAATTGTTGTTTGATACCAAGGTTCCCCCATTTCCAGCCTCACCATGCTCATTGTTGAATCCCTCTCTGGCAGCAGATTACTTACTTGGAAAGGACTTGGAGTTTCTCTCCCTTGACCAGCTGCAGGTCACGGTCACTTGAGGCAGGAAAATCGTACAGTGCAATCACGACCAAGTTATCTGAAAGAAGAAGCAGCACCATTGAATCCTGTCGGTTCCCTGCTGAGCAGGGCGATGCAAACCTGGGTGTACAGTTGGACACATGGGGACTGTCACCCTCTTGCCCCCTAAAAGCCAAGCTTTCCACCAACCCAGCTTTCTTGCCAACCACAACCTCTGCTCGGAGACTAACGCTCATTCACCGAAGTGTTTCCTGTGTATGTGATTTTAAAGCACTCCAAACCCCCCTATCCACAAAACTCAGTGTGTCAACAAGAAAAAAGGGCTTGTGTGGAATAAGGAGGGTCATAAATAACCTGTCAGTGTTTGGCCTGAGTTTTACATGGCGGTAAATGAAAACTGCTGTAGCAATATTTCCCAGGGTGGCTCTGGGATTTGACTCAAAAAAAGGAGGCTTTCTTGATTGAAAAAGGTATAAAGTTGTCTCAGTTTCTGTTACTTGAGCCTATTGCTGGGATTTAACTCCCCCTTCAGATGCTCTCGACTCAGCCTGTATCTTGCCATCCCTTTTACACACCGTTCCTTGCAGATGTGCCACCACGTTTAAGTCACGCTGCTGCTTTCGACCCAGCACCTCTATAATGCCCGGCCACTCCACTCCGCCGATATTACCGCAGGAGCGGGGAGTGCTCCAGGATCTCCTTCACTCTCCCTGGCCCTCATGCACTTTTGATGCTCCAGACAGCAAAACCGGTGCTCTGTGTCTCCCATTTTGCTTGCAACCCACCTGGATCGAGGCTGTGAGCAAGTCTGCATCCCCAGCCCCTACCCTGGGGATTTTACCCTACCCCTATGTTGCTTTTACTCCAGCCACGTTGGTTGAGCCTGAATTTTGGCATGGCAAAATGAACTTTCACTCTCCGGTGCATACGAGCTGTGCTGTGCGTGGCAAAGCTCAAAGCTGCCTCCTGGTACGTGCGCTGCGAGGCTGCTCACCCACCCCGGGGCAGATCTCTGCGGGCTGGAGCTGAATTGCCACATTGGTACAGCCGGATTGTGCCGGTGCTGCTCTCAGAGAGGTCGTGCAACCCTCTGCATGTGCTCTGCAGGCTCGCAGCTACTGAAGCAGAAACGAGCAGCTATTTTGGGGCTGACTGAATTTTATAAAGAGGATTGGCACGTGCACACAAACACAAAAATCAAACCAAAACGCCATGGTGGAAAAGAAAAAGGAGAAAGAAAAAGTGAAAAAATAAAAAGGAAGAAGTGAAAAAAAAAAAGAAAAAAGAAAATAAAAATTAAAATGAAAAGGAAAAATCAAAAGGGAAGAAAGTAAAAAAAGGAAAAATAAAAAGGAAAAGGAAAATGGAAATGGAAAAAGGAAAAGGAAAAGAAGGAAAAGAAGAAGAAAAAGAAAAAGAAGAAAAAGAAAAAGAAGAAAAAGAAAATTAAAAAAAGCAAAAAGAAAAAAAATGCTGACCATTTGCTGTTGAAAGGTTTTAGCTTGTACACAGCCTAATTAATGCACTGAGAGCTACGGACGGTCTATAAATAGCATTTTTCAAAACAGACCGTCAAGCCACAGTCACCGTGTGACCTTTTCAAATAATGCCATCAGCAAGAGAGCCAGACTGGCCCTTTGTCATCGCAAGATAACGTGTCTCTGGGCAACTTGGGCTTTGTGTCTGTGCAAGGTCTGGCTGCTGCTCTGCCGGCAATTTGTTGGAGCGGAGGGAGGAGAAAGGGTCAGCGTGGGACGGAACGTGGCTTTGTAAACCAAAGCCCTGAGCAGTTCCCTCCAGGCTTACGAAGAGGAACTTGGAGATCCATGAGAAGTTTCAGCAGAGCCTCCCTCTCTCCTACGTATGGGATAAAGGATGATCAGTCACAAGGGAGAAGGCGGCTTTGAATTCTTAAAATAGCTTGCACAGCTGGGGGCTTCCCCTTGAGGGATCTCAAGTGTTTAGCATTAGCAATGCACCCAAACTCTTGTTGCCTCCTTGAGAAAGTTGTTATCACACAACTTCTCTGGCATGAAAGGTTTCTGGGCATGTGCCTATTGCAAGGCATCCACAGCCAATGTATTCATCCACATGCTCCGTCCTGCTTCTCTTGGAAGAAAAATACTGCAGTGGTCGCACTTTTGCTTTGAAAAATAGAAGCAAATGTGTAAACATCTTCAAGCACAGAGTGGCTGTGTGCTCCGGAAAACAAAATAAAAAAATGTAGTTTTGATCTTGAAACAACTAACATAAGTACAAATAAACGAAATCAAAAACAAAAAGGAGAGAGGGAGAAAGAAAAAGAGCAAATACAGCAAGGACAAAAAGGGTTTATGTGCTGAAAAAATATTATGATCACCTCTTATCTCCTTCTCAACACACGTGTTGAGAAACACTGCACTCCTAAGTGAGCTAGAAGAAAAGCTCTCTCTGCTCAAGCCAGCAAGACTTGTTGTCTCATGATGAAAGTGACTCTTCCCGTCTCCGAGTCTGTCATCCCGCTGAGAAATAGAGTCGATAATACTTTCTTGGCCTATTTGATCAAGTTAGATCATGAGTGACTCTACAGCACCCGGTGCAGAGAAGCCGTCGGGGCTGTTAGGAGTGACTGCTTTGCAGATAATGCTAGCAGCCCAGAGACTTTGATTGCGAGCCAAATACATCTTGGCTCAGATTCGCTGTCAGGAAAGTTAGATATCAGCTCGGTTTGCATAGGCTGAGTTCCAGTTTGATGGCTTAATAGAAATGATTCAACCAGTCTTCCCACCCCTGCCCCGTCATGAATGGAAGGTCTTTGCAACCATCTCATGGCTACAGGGCCAGGCTGAGCCTATGACAGGGTCTCCCAGAGGACCATCAATTGGTTTAGAGCTGTGTTAGGATGGTCAAGGAGTAAACGACAGCTTGCGACACATGTGTTGGCCAGCTGGGTGCACTGAGAGATGAGTTACAGCTGCCGAAAATGGGTCTAGCTTTCCATTTTAGCATGACACGGGCTAGTCCACCAAGGTAAACGTGTGCTAGCAAAGTGTGCCTTCAAAGCACACGGCTGCTGGTGGCACACTGGCCCCATTGCTGCTGCCACCAAGAGGAACACCTTTAGATCCCCGTTGGTGGAGATGCAGAAGACTACGGGCTGGGACTGTTCCGTCTCCCAGCTGGTCAGCAAGCCCAGGTGTGACAGCTCGGGAGATGTCTCCTGGGACATCCAGGCTTGCACTGCAAGAGTGCCTTCTGCCAAATACCTTTCTGCCTTGTGTTTTGATACAGTGAATGTTTTTGCAGATAATTTCTGCTTTCCTCATAAAATCGTATCAGATCTAAACTCGTAACTTTTTTATTAGGAAATCTGAACAGTTGGGGCAATTCCCTCTCACCCTCCTCCCCCCTCTTGCTTTTGATTGGAAATTCCCATTTTTGATGAGAAGTTTTAATTTCTCATTGAAAAGTCAGTCGTTTCTGTAGAGACAACTCCTCCTTTTCCTGATTAAGCTCAAAACCATGTTTCTAACAGCATTTGTTTCAAACTCAAATCCATAAAACCAACTAAGAGCTTTGATGCTAATCTTGAGACGTCTCGAAAGACCTCAATTTCCAGAGCACGCTTAGCCCTCACCCTCTGAAAATCAGTCCTGTCCATATTATGTTTAGCCAAAAGCAAGCAAAGAGGTGGAAGAAGTTGCGGTTCCTCAATTGAAAGAGATGGCCTTACAAAGAGACCTATTCTTTATGCAGTTGCAGGTTGTTATAATGCCTGAGGACAAGCACCTGAAACAACCAGTGTTCTCCATCAGTAGTACTTAAATCCAGCTGTGAGCAGCTGCAGGGCAAGGGCAGGAGTTGTTCTACCCATCTGCTATGTCTTATCTACTCAATGCAAGTGAATAGCAGCAGCTGTAGTGATGGAGCTGTTGTGTTTGAGAACCATCATCATGGGCCAAGACTTTGCTGTGCCGAGGGCTTTATAGATGCAGAATTAAAAGTAAGTTTTGACTTAATAGAGATCAAGAACTGACCTTAAAGATATCATGAGTGCTTAGGGAACCATGATAAAATGAATGAAACTCACATGATGGAATAACCCACTCCGAGTTAAAAGTGGGTTGGCGATGCTGCCAACGACGCAGTTGAATCCAGAGTTATGCACTCCTTGCCTGCCTTTGTGTTACTTCCATTAAACTAAATAGTACCAGGAGGAATTAGACTTTTGTTGACAATAAATAAATAAATATATTATTTCTGAGACAGTGAGGTGAAAGCTTGAGACTGTGAGATAAGTTGCATGACATTGAGATTAAAAAAAAAATAAAATCAAAATGCGAGGAATGCAAAAAAATGAAAAAAAGTTTTCTCTTATTTAACACTTCTATAATCAATGATTTTACATGATTGAATTTGAAGTACTCCCACAAAATATAATTCAGCTCTTTGATTTTTTTTTTATGATTGAATTGCCTGGATTTTGTGCTTTCTCTATCAATTCACTTGACTTGCCTGCTTTCATGAGAGTATCTGATATATCAACTATCTTGCATGGTTCCTATCAGCCCATCTTGCCACACAGGATAGAGTCAGACATAGCATCATTTCTGGAAACTTGGGCACCGGTAGAGAAAAATAAGAAGTTTCCCAGACGGTCAGTGTGAATATTCCTCCAAAACTGGAACTGAATCTAACAAACCAAATACTTTTGAGAGCTGAAAATGGCAAAGATGGTACTTAATGGATTTTTTAGCATCTTTCCACTTCTGCCTTTTGGTATGAAGCAGAAGTAAAAGTCGCCTCCCTGAAGATAGCTTCTGTTGCACTTCTCACCAGAGAAGGTTGATAAAAACCCCATGAAAAACTGGTGATGTCTGCTCAGTTGTGGAGGTAGGAGAGCACGGCCACTTGGAAATGTGCTATGAAAACAATTTTTCAAAAGAAAGCACTGTTTCTGGAAAAAATGAGACTTCCACAGAAATGCATCCCCATTCACATTTTTCAAGAGCTACACCTCCCACAAATTTGATCTCCATAACAAATGTCAGTTTTGAAGAACATTTTGGTATTGTAGTTCTTCTGTTTGTCCCATGGCAGAGACCCTCCACCACCATCCATAAGACCTAAGACCTAGGTCTGCTGTTCCACTCATCCTATTTACTTTTGGCCTCACTTTTTCCTTTCCTCATGCCCTGTCTCCCCTAATCCTACACTTTTGCCCATGTAGGGAACTTTTATGTGTTGCTAACTGCTTTCTTCCAAGCTTTCTCTATTTTCTACCCTCTTCTAATTCTCTCTCTCTCTGTACTTAATCTGCAAAACTTCTTTCACACAAATATATACAAATTGCTGTTGGATGCTGGGCAGAGGTAGCAGAGGGCTTCCTGCTAAAAGGCAATCATCTACCAAACACCGTTTGCAACCCGTAGATAATTGCAGAGGAGGATGAAACCAACAAACAGTTTCCAAGTAGGGCTCTGTGCATTCTTATTTTGTACTCTTTTCTTTCTTCTCCTTCTCTTTGTAGTCTCTCTGGGCTCTCTGATGCCTGCTATTTCCTCTGAAATTTTCAGCTGGCTGGTTATAGCTTCCACGAGTTGTCATGCTGTAGCCAGGGCAACAGACAGAAATCTCACGCAGTTGATGTTTCAGATCTCACTTCGCTCAACCAATGAAGAAGGACTGCTTTTCCCTCTTAATTTCTCTGATGAGCAGGGGAAAACTGGCAGCTACAAACAGTTAGTGATGTAAACTGAATCTTCAGAAACATGCTGATAAAATCCACGCCTGGCAATGCTAAAGATACAGAAACCGCATGCCTGTGACATGCTGGCTTGTTCTCAAGACGTACTGTAGGAGGGCCACCACCTTGCAAAATCCCACGGGAAGGTGAAGCAAATAGCAATTGAGCTAAGAATCTTACCTTGTACAGAGGCTTGGTTTAGATGAGGGATGCTGACAAATTGCCTGCCCTTTGGTAGAGATAGAAAGAAAAAAGAAGGCATTTATTATTTCGCTGTGTTTGCAGGAAGACTTGCTCTCAGCTTCACAGATGAGTGGGAGTCTGATCCGGAGCCCACTGTAGTCAGCCAACAGCCCCTGCATCTGGTTTTGTATGTGTCGTGATGGCTTTAGCACATTCTGCCATGATGTGTTCCTAGCTGTCTTGGCAGTCAGCTTGAATAATCTTTGGCTCCCCTTTGAATGAAACCATAAATCTGCTACCCATTCGTTTAGACCCTGGTCTATCTAACTCTTGTTCACTGATGCCAGATTTTGGATCAATGGAGGATGAGGCATGAACGTTCCCATTGAGAAGTGACAATTGCAATGTATTTGAAGCAGAAAACCCACAATACTCTTTGCCATAATTGTCCCAAGGCTCATGGAATATCCTTTGCTCAGAGGTATGTTCAAAAAATGGAGGCAGTGACTGTAATAGCAAATTAAACAGCAGCAAGGTTCTACAATTCATCTAGGCACACTTTTAAAATGTTGGCATGATCCCTAGTTTGGTGTGGGCCAGACCCTGAGAGTGGTCAATTGACCATACGCCGCTCCTAATCCACAGCTGGGACGCCACAACCTTGGCTTGTGTGCTAAGAGTTTAGTGGAACAAAAATAGCCAGGTGGGTTCTGTTGGCCTCTACCCAACCTCAAACACCAGTCCTGTGAACAGTCCAAGCACACCCACAGAAGTGGTGTTTGACCACTGCCGGCTATTTTCATACACGTGCAAAAGGAGTGAACCATGGATGCTGAATTAAAAACATCTAGTGCTTTCTGTCCATACCACCCTTTGGCTCCTACTTAGCAGCAGTGTGGGGTGGGAGACCTGCTCACCTGCTGCCCTTTCTTATTTAGCTGAGAGAAATATGGACCTCCACTGACATGTGAGAGCTTAGTACCTGTGGCAAAAAAAACCCCATGTCATAAGGTGATTGATCATACTGTATATACACTGATAGCAGCTCCTCTTCAGTGAGCTGCAGAGAAGGAAATTTAGGAAAAGAACATCCTCTTGGTCAGTCTCACATTTGCTGTCATGAAAACTGGACTGTATGGCCACACGGTAACTCAGAAATGAAACTAAAGGAGTGAAAAACATCTCCGCCTGTCATCAAAAGCAATGACAGGTGATTCTTTCTCCCTCAGAGCTCAAGACCCAAGATGGTTTTCACATGACAGTTGCACCTAGAGTTTGTCCTGTGCTGGCTGCTGGATGTACTCCTGGCAAGGGCAGGAAAAGAGGAAACGACTTCATGTCCTCTGAACAGCAACAGAGGGATAACGTGATTTCCCAGGTTTAAACAAGAGGTCTGTCATTTGAGGTCTCCTAGGTCCTATCCCAGTGTCTTACTGATCTCTGTTCACGTAAAGAGAGCCCATTTGGATTCAGAAGGAGCAGCAGGTGCTCGGTGCTCCTGATTCTCAGCCCACTCCAACACAGATCAGCTGCAGACACTCTTTAGCCAACCTGTTGTCCTCCCCGATGCTGAAGATTCCATTGCGGTTTGTAGCTTTGAATCTTAGTCTGAATCTGACCTGTCTTTGTGCTGTTTGCCAGTCAGCAACACCAGCTCGGGTTGCAGAATGCTGAAGGCAGCAGACCTGTCTAAGAGATATGGAGATCAGCTCATAGGACTTGTGTCCAAGTGATGCCGGACACACAGGTAGTGGCCTCTTACACCTTCTCTCTCTGTGTCCTGCTCTGCTCTCCGGTCCAGCCCACACAGATAACCATGCCAGGCTCAACACAAGATAGCCTTTCAGAGCACCACCATCCCTAGTCCATTTGAACATTCACGGCCAGAACATATTCCCAAAGAGAAAATGACATCCTTTTTGACAGAGAAAAAACCCAGAGCAAGAAAGGGTTGACTGAACACTTCACCCCATATTAAGAAGCTCATGGGAAGAAGTCATAGAATCACAGAACGGTTTGGGTTGGAAGGGACCTCAAAGATCATTTAGCTTCAACCCCCCCTGCCATGGACAGGGATACCCTCCACTATACCAGGTTGCTCAATGCCTCATCCAACCTGGCCTTGAAGTCAGGCATAAACATTTGTTTTCTGCCCTTTGAACAACATTTCCCAATTGGTGACAAAATTTTTGAAAATAGAAGGACTCAAGTTCCTACTGGCACATACCCGTATTGCCTGCATCACTCCAGACATTAAATGAGCTGTGGAAGACACCAAAAAGACACAAAACTGCAGGCTTACCTTGGGTGGGGCAAGAGGAGGTTTACTCCTGTTTTTTGGGTTGCTTCCAGAAGTGTGTTTCTCATTGGACATCAACTGGTTTTTGCTCCCAAGCAACCCCATCCTGGAAGGCAGATCAGAAATGACTTTTTAATGAGAGTGCTCTTGGGAAAAATGTCAGATATTGAGGGACGAAACAATCTTCTCGTTCATGAAGAACACATTGGACAAGATGAGAATGCAGGGCAACGGAAAGAAAAGTTTAAAATCATCCCCTCTACAGTCCTCCTACTACTTTGGATCTTATGAAACACATAGTTTCTGTTCCCACACAATTCTGATGTTTCACATTTTGCAGATGCAGCTTAGACAGACACTATAAATCACCAGAAAAAAATAGGCAAAAATGAATGCTTTGGATATGTCCCCTGTTCGATGCGGAGATCCCCAGGTGGCGATGAGCAGACTTGCTCCAGAGCCAGATGATGCCCCATGCATGCTCTGCTGGAGGATCGAAGACAGAGTGCTGGAGAATATTCCTGTGCTGAACTGTTCAGATGTACAAGAGCTTTAAGAGTGCCACATAGTCCCCAGACCAAGCCCTACCCACACTGTTAAGTACCTTCTGTAGGTCATGTCCCCCCCATACAGCAAGACCAGCACACAGATGTGTAGCTATCTGCATGATACCAATGCCCCCCTTCCTTCATAGAATCATAGAATGGTTTGAGTTGGAAAGGACTTTAAAAATCATCTAGTTCCAATTCCCCTGCCATGGGCAAGGACACCTTCCACTATACCAGGTTTCTCAAACTCCCATCCAACCTGGCCTTGAACACTTCCAGGGATGGGGCAGTCACAACTTCTCTGGGCAACCTGTTCCAATGCCTCACCACCCTTAGAGGGAAGAATTTCTTCCTTAGATCTAGTCTAAATCTGCCCTCTTTCAGTTTAAAGCCATTGCCCCTTGTCCTATCACTACATGTCCTTGTCAAAAGTTCCTCTCTAGCTTTCTTGTAGGTCCCCTTTAGGTACTGGAAGGCTGCTAGAAGGTCTCCCCAGAGCCTCCTCTTCTCCAGACTGAATGACCCCAACTCTCTCAGCCTGTCTTCATAGCAGAGGTGCTCCAGCCCTTGCATCTTCATGGCCTCCTCTGGACCCACTCCAACAGCTCCATGTCCTTCTTGTGTTGGGAACCCCAGAGCTCAACGCAGTACTGCAGAAGGGGTCTCACAAGAGCAGAGTAGAGGGGCAGAATCCTCTCCCTCGACCTGCTGCCCAGGCGCTTTGAATGCAGCCTAGGACACGGCTGGCTTTCTGGGCTGCAAGCGCACATTGACGGCTCCTATTGAGCTTCTTATCAACCAACACCTCAAGTCGTTCTCCTCAGGGCTACTCTCAATCCAGCCCTGTGCTGATCAATCCTTTCTTGTGCTGAAGCAGCACAGACACACTCTCCGTTAGTCCATAAAGGCATGGGACCTGATGGGACACTTTGTAGGACTGCAAGAGGCTTAGCGAGTCAAACATAGGTTAACTTGCATCCATCCTGCCTCTAAAGCTTGGGACTAGGGCTTGACTCAGTTGTCCATATGAGATGCTCTAGTACCATTTGATGTGCCCTGGCATTTCACAAGGTGTGAGTCTCCTGTATATCCTGGATTTTGTTTCCCAACCCCATGTCTGTGTCTCAGACCCTCTCGGCACCTCAAGAAGCAAGTGAATCATAGAATCATAGAATCATAGAATCGTTAGGGCTGGAAGGGACCTTCAAATGTCATCTAGTTCAACCCCCCTGCAAGGAACAGGGATATCTCCAACTAGATCAGGTTGCTCAGGGCCTCATCCAACCTGGCCTTGAACGTCTCCAGGGATGGAGCATCCACCACCTCTCTGGGCAACCTGTTCCAGTGTTCTACAACTCTCATGGTAAAAAATTTTTTCCTAATATCCAACCTGAATCTACCTCCCTCTATTTTAAAACCATTACCCCTTG